AAAAATACCACACTAAATAGTGACTAAACACGACCCCTTTTAATACATGTTAACCAGGAGTCACTCTCATTTATAATCACGGCATCGTCTGATAAAATCAACATGCATCTACACTAAAGATGCTGTTGTTATGCGGTTGTTTTGGCTATATTACTTTTTTGTCTCAATATTACCTGCGTCTGAGTAACAAACTAAAAAAAACAATAAACAAAAAAGTGCATGTGATATAGACGAACTACGCTCATATTTATAATTCCAGACAATGGAAACGCTGTTTTGTACTCATTTATTGACGAGTCGGCTGCGGTGCGGCCAACTGAATGCGCTGCTTCTCTGCCGCTCACTGCACAGAACAGACGCCGAGAGAGGCGACATTTCTCCGGGAAAGTCAGACCTCGCGCTCGCGGGACAGCACTGGCGAAATCTTCCAACTGAACCATAGCTAAGGTTTATCCAAAAAAGTCGCTAGGTTTGTCAGTCTGAATATTCTATGGAAAAAATCCGCTAAAAGGGTCTGAAAGTTGCTAAATCAGGCAGGGGGCGGTGGATATTTGTGGCGGTCAATGTGGATATTGTGGATGAGTTCTTCTGTGTCATCACGTTCTATTAGTTCTACAGCTTCAGTTTCGGATCTTTCACGCTTAGTAACACATACAGCTGTGCCCTCACCACAGTGCACCAGTGAAAAGGGACCCCTTTCAAACAGTGTCGCGTTCCGAACGTTGTTTAAGCGACAACAGTGCGGTATTTAAAAAATTCATATCATAACAAAAATAAACACCGGTATTCGGTATGAACCAGTATACCGCCCAGCACTAACAATAAGCACAACCGTAAAAAATGTAATACCGTATTGTCCCTCATAACCGGTAATATAACAAGCTTATAAGCAAGCTTAATTGTTATAAGCTAGTTTGACATGATATGCAAAGCCAATACATTTTCTTCTAAGTCAAAATACTCCCTCAACTTGCTCGTCTTCTGAGTGGACATATCTCTGAACCTGCAGTGAATGACAGCAGTAACATTTATTTAACTAGCTGACTAGTCTTGCACATCGCTAATTTTATTATGTATGCTTTAATCAGAAAAATCATACATTCAGCGGGGGTCCAGGGTGGTATTGTAAGGCAGCCAATTATAGTTTGATCATTTGTTTGCACTTGTTTTTCTGAAGCAATCAAAATGAAAGTTTAGGCACTATAAATATTATAGTCAAATGAAGGATGATAAAATATTTTTCATTTTATACAATATGATCCATCTATTTCCTTTTTGCAGGCAGCATCACTCCTACAGTGGAGTTGAATGGCTTGGCCATGAAGCGAGGGGAGCCAGCTATCTACAGACCCCTGGACCCCAAACCCATTCCCAACTACAGAGCCAATTACAACTTTAGAGGAATGTTCAACCAGAGGTACGTCCTTCAGCCTGTGCATATGTGATGCTTCTTAGCACTTCAATGTCTCTGAAGCGTTTCAGTGCTGAAAGTTGATATCATGTTTCTTTAAAATTCCTACCTGGAACTGTTATTGTTGTGAATGAATGTTAGAATTCTAGTATGGTTCTGGTAGATGCATTATTTGCCTTTGCTGCCACCTAGTGGTGTCACAGTGGTGTTATAGCAAACATATAAACCATGGAGTGCATGGAGTGCCAACTCATATTGGCTGTCTGATTTTAGAGATCGACCACTGTATTCAACATTTTAATGATGATGTCTGATCTGTGATTTTGTGCTAAGCTTTGATTGTTGGCCATGAGGACAACTTATGTCGTGGCCTAATGGTTAGAGAGTCGGACTTGTAACCCAAAGGTTGCTCCGGGTGTGTGTTCACGGTGTGTGTGTGTGTTCACTGCTGTGTGTATGCACTTTGGATGGGATAAATGCAGAGCACTAATTCCGAGTATGGGTCATGTCACTTATGGGAACATAAAGAGAAGTTCTGCTCATTGCCATTAGGTGGCACTATTGCCCTATTTTTTTCCTCAGGCCTTATGACTTCAGACTTTTGCTTCACTTACCCATATTTTACACTGGATGGACATCGAAAGGCAACACAGCACACTAACAGAAACCTAAAAGTAAACACAACTGCTCTTAATACGAAATATTGAAAAGGATTAATATTGCCATGTGTTTTGGATGATGCTATGATGTGCTCAGATCCCACAGCTTTCTTTTGGAAAAACTGACTTGTCTGCATAGTTTGAGTGGTTTATTTCTAAATACAGTATATTTTCAATTTTGATGGTTTCGTGCTCTTGACAGGCAATATTTCACAGCACACATTGTGATTGCCATGGACAAGTGAACTCGTATCTAATGTAGCCTGGGTTGTATTTTGTTGAACCTTGCAAAGTTTTGCTCATGGTTTTTGAAGCTGAAGTCATGTCACATGACCTGTCCAGGTTAGCATCTGTCCCATTGGAATTGTGCTGCAAAATATCAAATGAAATACTTATTTTTCAATCTTTCATATGTCTAGCATTTGATGGCACATTTAGCTCAGAATCTACAACATCTAATTTATGTTTCTGCAAACTTGGATTTGCTATTTGTTAGTCAGGTTTATTCCAGATAAACCGGCGAGGATGAAAAGAAACACGCTAACACTGACGTGTTCATCAGCTAAAAGGAATGAACAGCGAGAAGCAACGTTGACGCTAATCGGAAAACTACACTACATTACAAGAAGCACATTACACCTTAATCCTGCTGTCATTTGAATCTTATATTTAGACATTTGCTTTCGATTGAAGCTCAATGGACACTGTGAGGTGAGAAACCTGAGTCTTGTAATGCTAAGATCTCAACCTGATATCAAACAGCGTTAAAGGGCCTGCATGTAGTGATTTTATTGAAAAAAAAAATGTATATATGTTTCTCCGCTGCACATCTAGAATTTCTATGATGTAGTCTTTGAAATAGTAATACAACAAGGAGCCAAAGTAAATCGGATCCTCTGTGTGATTACATCATTTTGGTGCAGAGCCTGGCCGGAGACCACCGTGGGGGATATTAAGGGTGTTGCATATGAATTATACTCTTAAGGCTTTTGCACTCTCCACTTTCAACATGGATCCTCTCAGAGGTGTTACAGGCCTCACATAATTTAAACACAGAGTCGCTTAATTACAGCTCTCTAATTTATGGTTTTGTTAAAATATCGATGTTGTGTCTGTACTGCTCATTATGGAGAAGAATAATGGCATGGCTGCAGTGAATTGAGGGATTATGAGATTGAGAGCATTGACAGGTATTTCTGAATATGCTTTAATCAGAAAGGGTATTGATTATCAAAAATTTATTTTGATTTATGCAGTGGTAATTAAAGGGATCATATCATGAGGAATCTTTTGAGATACAGTATATACTGAGTTCTGAAATCAGAGTAAGCTTGATATGTGCTTCTGTAGACGGATTAATATATTTGAATACACTATGACTTGACAGGCCGAGTTAATAAAGAGGATGTGGGATAGATACTGTTATTCCTAAATAGTACGAGTAAACTGTTGTGCTGTTCTTAGCTTGGTGTAGCACCTACAGCTCTGCATATCCCTCTGAAGGATTTTTCTGGGCATGAAAACTAAATGAAAGCTTTTTTGTTTGTATTATTTAAGTAAATATATAAACTAAAAAAAAACTGTACTAACTTTATAAGTGGACCACAGAGAAATATTAATAATATTTATTCAAATACGTTAAAAAAGTGCGTTTATAATCACTTTAAAAGTTTAGTTTTAGTAATAATTTGTCTTTTTTAAATGTCATGTAAATGCTCCATTCCAACTGAAATTGTGGGTTGGTTTTCATGTTTTTAAAAGAAGTCTCTTATGCTCACCGTGCCTGCACTTATTTGATCAAAAATACAGTAAAATTCATTCAAAAACCTGTTTTCTGTTTTAATATGTTTAAAATCATTCTGATATGCTGATTTGGTGCTCCAAAAATGTTATTATTAATGTTGAAAACAGTTGTGCTGCTTAATATTTTTGTGAAAATCACACATCCCTCCCAGGATTCTCTGATGAATAGAAAGTTCAAAATAACACAACACAATTGATTTGAAATAGAAATATTTTGTAATATTATAAATCACTTGCAATCAAGTTAATGCATCCATGCTGGATGAAATAATTAATTTCTTAAAAAAAAAATTTACTGACCCCAAATTTTTGATGGGTAGTGTATACTTGGACTTGGAGACTGTAGCTTGGTTGTGATGTAAACAAATGTACATATTTACTCACAAATTTACATTCTCATTACAGTCCTGGCTAACTGCCTTTAATCTGTATCAGCTCACTGTTAATGTCCTCTGTCAGTCCATCGAGACTGCAGTGATGCAGATTAACAAAAGCATCCTTTCTGAGAACCAAATCATGTACCCAAGAGTTGTAACTCCTCATTATCCCAGCTTAGTTAGACTAAAGACCAAATCTGGACTTCTCATCCTGTCTCAGCTTATCCAATCACGTGTGGATCTGAGTGAGAACTAAGCTGCAGTCAGGTAGCATCACACAATTACCTAATTTATCCAGGCCTTTGCTCTTTGTGACTAACATCAGGCTTTGTGTTCCCAACAACATATTTGGGGAGCGCATGCATTCTTTCAGAGTCAAAATTTGGATGGGTCTTTTCCGGGACTACCTCACCTTCTCTCATTTGGGCATGACAGTAACATTGCGTCGGTACTTAACTGTAACAATAATGAGGATAATTGCTGTCGAGCCTCTCCAGTGATATTTCCTGGTCTGATATTGAGCTGTGGCTGAAAAGACTGGAAGCTCAGAGGAAGAGAGTTTGCTAGGCGAGCCGGTGTAGTGGAGGTGGAAATGCGTCACTGTCTAGGCCAATTCAGCACCTTGGTTTGTTCTGATTGCAATAAAGATAACGTGGCTCTGGGGTACGGTTGGCTCAATACCAGATTTTGCCGTCATTCTGATATCTCCGTATCCATAGCAAATACATACCTCTATACAAACAGATGATAGGTAGTCCATTAAATATGCATGCTAGATTTGCATATCAAATAAACAACTGAAATATTTACTAAACTGGTAGGCTTATCAGCTATCTATCTATAAGGAAGGCCAATGCTATCTCATGACCAGTTCGTTCGTATTTTACGAGTTGGCTAGTTCGTATGAATTTCTGTGAGGGGTAGGTTTAGGGGTGGTCATTAGTATGAATTCCTACGAATTTGCCACCTCGTAAATACGTGTGATTTTTCACAAAATATACGAATTCATACGAACCAGGTCATACGAATATGTATGAATTAGCCATCTCGTAAAATATGTACGAATTGCTGTGAGATAGTTTTTTTTTTCAGGCAGGGATGAACAATTATCCCTTAATAGTGTATAATATTTATTAAAAATATTATCGCAAGGTTTGTGTCTGAGCATATTTTCAAATTGCATTTCCAAATTAGGAAATTCTCCAAATATTCCACAGTATAAAAATATCGTAACTGAGCAAGAAAATATCAACCATTAACTTGCTTTACTGAAATGGAAACACTTGAATATGAATGACACAAATTTACTTTTCTTAATTTCATCTGCGACCTTTTTTCCTTAGTTTTACATACTCTGAGATGGTCTTTGTATGGGTATTATTATTATTATCACAGTAGGGCTGTCAAATGATTAATCGCAATTAATCGCATCTAAAATATAAGTTTATATTTGTGTGTACTGTGTTAAGACACAATTGTTATATTAATTGTGTGTGTGTGTATATAAAAATAAGTATATAAGTATATAAGTGTGTGTATATGTGTATATATATATATATATATATATACACACACACACGCAAGCATGCATATATTTAGGAAAAATTTTATATTTATATATACAATTATAAAGGGATTTATATATATAGTCATATATATATATATAGTAGGGGTGCTCCGATTGATCAGCTACCGATAACTATCGGCCGATAATCACGTTGAGATGATTGATCAGCGGTCTCTAAAAAGGCCGATCTAAAAAAAAACGATCTCAAGCTGATGACGCTGCCGTGAGAGGTTTGGCACGACATGCAGCGGCACCGTCTCAGTCTCTGTCTGGCGCGGGTGAAATAATTATAATGCTGAAGGTGAGACACTCACCTTCATTTTTCTTCATTAAATAACTTATAAAGTAATTTGAAAACCTTGTGAGACGTAATTTCACAAATGGCGTGAGTGAATCACAGCGCGTACTCTCTCTCAAAATGCGCGAATGGCTTCAAATCACCACACATAGCGTCTCTATAAGCGAGCTGCACGCTGCACAGTTGACACAGGAATTGTCACTTGCGAGGCAGTGTCACATCGTTACTAAAGTTTATAAATTGCATTTCTTTTTAATTCTTGCCAGTGTTTAACCATTCAGCGCTCGCGCGCTCTCCTGGGG